GGTAGGATTTTAGTCTTCTATCTTCGCATACTGTGATTGAAAGCAATGCAAAACAAGTAGTTACTAGAGCACAAACGGGAAAACGTTGCAAGGGATCTATCTATTACCGGAGCTTAAGCGAACTTCCGGACAACTTTTGACACGGTGCTTTCGAACTTCTTGAAGTTTCTACCTAAACTAACTTCAGAAAAGAACAGTTTTGGGAGAGGATGGCTCCTAAAAATGTTGTTTAAATATTAAAATCAACGCGCTTAGGACATAAAGGGCTTATTGTTCTTTTTTATGGGCTTTTCTGCCAAAAAAACGAAAAACTTTTGAATTCCGCATTGGGATCTTACCAAAATATTTTTTTCCATATTCAAATATTAGACAGCTGGCGCAATCAAAATACCACTGTTTCATTTCTTGTTTTCTTAGGGTACGTCTTTTAGCGTATTATGGTTCTGTTTATTGATATGAGTTAGTGTTCTACAGAAAGCCTGAAACTTATAAAAACTGTGCCTTCTGCTCCATTTATCGATTTTTTTTCTCTGTTTTGGCACGATTTGCTTTAAATCTTGTATCGCAAATGTTCTAGCACTCCTAAGCTCTGAGCAATGACCGGAAATATAATTTTGGTAGCATTTAGAAAATACGCTCATGGACTTTTATATGTAGATAAAGAAATAGACAGATAAAATAAAGTTTACTTGGATACTTCGAACAAATAATCAATAAGTAAAAAGCATTATTGATTTCAGGTGTCTTACGCGACTGGGTGAAACGCAGAACAAGAAAGGACGATGGGTGGATGTAGATGAAGCCGATTTTCGGTGCGATATTGTTGAGACGACTTGCGTTAAAGAGAATAACAGTACTCCATATCAAATGGTTCATGCACAGATTATTGAAGTGTAAGTATTAAAGCGATAAGCTGTCCAGAACTCAAAATAAGCGATAAAAAAGTAATTTTCAAAATATTATAGAAACAACACAGTAAAAGTGGACAAAGCTGAGAATCTTCACAATGTTTATGTTATACTACTTGACTCTACAGCACATACGCAAGGAATACGGTAACAGTTTTTTAAGAAGCACCTTTTGTTTGATTAATGTTGAATTTCAGAAATTTGCCACAAACAATGCATTTCTTTGAGAAATCTATGCAAGCAGTAACCTTCCCATATATCAATAAAGTTGGACTAAACAGTCGCCCCAATGGAGTGGCTCTATGGTTTGGTAAGAGAACCAGTAACTGTTCACATAAAGCCATCTAAATTGCAAATTCTAGGGAAGCGAATTGAAACCGTGGATCGGGGACTTTTTGGTTTGCCCAACATCCCACCCGATTGGACACGCGATCACTTCTGTTACACTTATCTCGATAATGAAACCTCTATATTCAAAGAATTTAGAGAACGAGGATATAAGGTTACTTTCATCTCTTTTT